ACTTGCCCAAGGTCACACAGCTAGTGAGTGTCAAGTGTTTGGTCTGAGGTCAGATTTGAACTCAGGTCCTCCTGACTTCAAGGCCAGTGCTGTATCCACCACCTCGCTGCCCTGGCTTTACTTTTTAAAGTCATACCATACTCAGGTCTACCCCAGTCTTTCTTATGAGCTACCCAATTATTAATAAGAATCTTAGACATACGGTTTATATTTTACATAGATAAAAAGTAAATGGTTTGTCCTTATTGAACCCCTTGTAATCAGTCTTTGGTATGTACCTTATGTTTTTCTTGACTCTTGTATGTCAAATCTTCTTTTAAGTTCGGGGTTTGTTTTTTTTTTAACAAAATCTTCAAAGTCTGGCAGTGGGTCAGATGTCCATTTTTTTCCATTCAGCATTGTGCTTAACTTTGCTGGGTATGATATTTCTGGCCTGAGTCCCAGTTTTTTTGCCCTTCAATATAGAGTATTCCAAGACCTGTGGTCTTTTAATGTCTCTCCTGCTAGGTCTTGTGTGATTCTAATTGTGGTACCACCATATTTAAGTAGCTTTTTTCTTGTTGCTTTTAGTTTTTTATCCTTGAGCTGGGGGTAAATGCATTCCTTACAGCAACCCTGTGGGCTAGGTATTTGGGATTGTATTAACCCCATTTTTGGATGGAAACACTGAGTTTTGGCAGGAGCCATGACCCAGGATCTTTAGGTTGAGAGCTTAAGAAATTGAGGCCCGGAGAGAAATGATCTGGCCAAGGCCACATAGCATAGGTGAGTTTCTCACTCAGACTGTCTGCAGCCACGTCTACTCCTCCATGCATAGCAAACACACAGGTGCTCCTTCCCCGAAGACATAATGGGGGCAGCTAGGTGGTGCGGTAGATAGAACTCCGGCCTTGGAGCCAGGAGGACCTGAATTCAAATCTGGCCTCAGACATTTGAAACTTACTAGCTGTGTGACCCTGGGCAAGTCATTTAACCCTAATTGCCTCACCAAAAAAAAAAAAAGAAGAGAGAGAGATAATGTTTGTAAAGCTTTCAGCATAGTGCCTGGCACACAGTAGGCAGTTAATAAATGCTTATTCCTCCCCTCCCCTTTCCCACGATGCTCTCTGTGACTTTGGGAAATCATTTCAACTCCCTGGGCTTCCCCATCTGTCAAAAGGGGCTTCTTTTAGCTCAAGACCCAGAATCTCCTGCCCCCATTCCCACCCAGTCCTGCTGAGGGCATGCCCACCATTCAAAGCCCAGCATGTTTGTGCCTGCTCCCGGAAGGTACCAGTGAGCACCCACCACCCCTCTTTCCTCTGGCCTCTGGCATAGGAAGAACGCTGGATCTAGGGTCGAGCCCCAGCCTGGATACCTCCTAGCTGTGTGACTTTAGGTCAGTGAACTAACCTCTCTGTGCCTCACTTTCCTCATCTGGAATAAGAACAATCAATAACTGAGGTTTACAAAATGCTATACATACATTATTTCATTTTATCCTTATAACCAACCCGTGAGGAAGGTAGTAATAATAATAATGACAGCAAGCATTTACAAAGTGCTCTACAATCATTATTTCATTTGCTGCTGTTATTGTACCCATCTTACAGTTGAGGAAACTGATGCTCTGAGAGGCTAAGTGACTCGCCCAGGGCCACACTGTTGTTTCTGTTCCCCTTTCATTTTCAGAGAGCAACAACGATAGATATCACAAGGTGTTGTCTTGACTTGGGTGTCAGTTGGATTTCAGGGAGGCAGCGTTGCCCAAAGTTGTCAGCCTCTTCCAGAGTCATTGATGTCCAGTGGCAGGACAAGAGTCAGGACGACTGGTGACGGTCCAGGATGCAGTGGATGACCTTGGCGTCTTTGATGTCAAGCGTCCGGGGTCACACAGATAATCAGTCAGTCCATCAACATTTATGAAGCGCCGGGCACTGTGCTAAGTGCTGGGGATGCAAAAAGAGGCAAAAGACAGTCCTTGCCCTCAAGGAGCTTACAATCTAACAGGGGAATCAACATGGAAACCAAGATATACAGACAAGCTGTATGCATGATAAATGGGAAATAATTATCAGAGGGAAGGCACTATTATTAAGGAGGATTAGGTGTCTGCAGCAGGACTTGAACTCAAGTTTCCAGATTACAAGTCTAGCATTGTAACCTTTTCCTCACCAAGCCATCTAGTGGCTAGAATTCTATACTTGAAGTCAGGAAGGCAAGTCCTGTAGCTCAATTTACAGATGAGAAAACTGAGAGAAGTCAAGCCGCTTCACCAAGGCCTCCCAGCCAGTGCTGTCGTCCATCTCTGGACATCCGTCTCGTCCATCTGTGAGCCAGGGCAGCCAAATAACCCCTGGCTTCTCAAGCCGTGACTTCTCATCTAGGCTGGTCTTCGGCCTTGTCTTTCCCCTGGCTCCCAGGTGGGCTCTAGCCAATGTCCTGGCCTTCCAGAGACATCTCCCCTTCAAATAGGGGCAATGGCTTGAACCCTGGCCCTGCTGCTTACTTCTCCTGCCAGGCTCCCCTGAGAAAGCACTCTCCAGTCCCAAAAGGCCGTTGTAGATGGGAGTTGCCCTCTTCCTCTTTCTCCTCAGCTTCCTCCTGGTCATGGGTAAATTCCTTCACGTCTCAGTTTTCTCATCTGTAAAATGAAGATAACTCTCTTTGTGGTAATGACCTCATAATTCTGTTGTAAAGATCAAATGAGGAAACATGCCAGTTTGGTCTGTGCCAGTGATCGTCCCTCAGATCGCACCTTCCCAGCTGCAGATGGGCACTTCTCTGAGGGAGGACTTGAGCCCTTCTGGAGACAAATGCTGGCCTTCTGTCTGGTATTCCACAAGTCATTATTCTTTTAAAAATTCGATATGTTTATTTTTCTATTTTTATGGATAGCTTTTGTTTTTACATTACCTTCAGTGAGTCAGTCAATGAGCATTTCTTTTTTTCAGAGTTTAACAATTATTTTTTATTTTATTTTTCTCAATGATATGTAATTTTAAAAAGATCATTTTTAATATTAAGTCCCAAATTCTCTCCCTCCCTCCCTCCTCTTGCCTCTATTTGAGAAGGCAAGCAATTTGGTTTTCGACAAGCGTTTCTTAAGTGCTAGACACTGTACTGAGCACAGAGGGGATAAAGAAGAGCATAAAGATGTCTTTAAGGAATTTACATTCTAACGGGAGAATTGACATACAAGAAATTGTATATATATGACATACATGGTGTAAATAGTGGGTAATATCTCTCTCTCTCTCTCTCTCTCTCTCTTTCTCTCTCTGTCTCTCTCTCTCTCTCTCTTTTGGAGGCAATCTGGGTTAAGTGACTTGCCCAGGGTAAGTGTCTGAGATCACGTTTGAACTCAGGTCCTCCTGACTTTAGGGCCAGTGCTTTACCCATTAGGCCACCTAGCTGCCCCTAATGGGGGGGGGGGTAATCTCAGTGGTTAGGCACTAGCAGTGGGGAGGAGAGAGTGATCCCTCTTCCATCTCCTATCCAGACAGCCAGTCCCTGTAACAGACTTTATTTTATTTTATTTTTTAAACAATACACTGAAAAAAATGTGTATCAAAAGCCAATCCCAAACATTCTACCCTTTCACCTCACCATTTCTCCTTGCTTTTTTTTTTGCTTTTTGGGGATGCAGTTGGGGTTAAGTACCTTGCACAGCTAATAAGTGTCAAGTGTCTGAGGCCGGATTTGAACTCAGATCCTCCTGACTGCAAGGCTGGAGCGCTATCTACTACACCACCTAGCTGTCCCCACCTTACCATTTCTTAAGGATTCCAGGCAACTCTTGGCCCCAGGAATGTCAACTGAGCATGTCCCAAGAGAGGGTGAGGGAGGAGGAAATGGCCCCCCTTTTTTAAATTTTAAGGTGATGTCACTATCACAGTCATTTCTGGACATATCCTCTTCCCTCTCCATCTATGGGGAATTGAATCATCCCTCGTAACAAAGAAAAACAGATAAAACAGAATCACTAATGCAGCTACTTTATCCATCAACGTATGCAGTGTACTGCCCTGATAGCCCCCCACCTGTCTGCTGAGACATCAAATGTTCTTTAGGACCATTACTGGTTTTCTCAGTTATATGTCCTTCCAGCACCTTCTTCATTTGCTTTGTTGTAATCACTGAATACGTTGTTCTCTTGGGTCTGCTTATCACTTCTGCATCAGTTCATGTAGATCTTCCCAGGTTTCTCTGCAGTCTTCAGAATTGTCTTCTCCTACAGTCCCAGCGCCACAATAATCCATTCCCTTCATGTACAACAGCTTATTTTACTATTCCTTAGTTGGTGGGGACTCATTTTATTTTCATTCTCCTGATGTTGATTTTTCCCCCAGTCTAATCAGTATCTCCTCACTCTCTCTCTCTATCTATTTTTGGTAAATAGCATTTTATTTTTTCCAATTGTATGTAAAGATAGTTTTCAACATTCATTTTTTATAAGATTTTGAGTTTCAAAATTTTTTTCCCTTCCTTCCTTCCCTCCCCCCTCCCTAAGACAGCAAGCAGTCTGATGTGGGTTATACATGTACAATCACGTAAACATGTTTCCACATTAGTCATCTTGTGAAAGAAGAAACAGAACAAAAGGGGAAAGCCACAAACAAAAAAAGTGAAAATAGTATGCTTCAATCTGCATTCAGACTCCATAGTTCTTTCTCTGGAGGTGGATAGCATTTTCTCTCATGAGTCTTTTGGGATTGTCTTAGATCATTGCATTGCTGAGAAGAGCCAAGTCTATTAAAGCTGATCATCATATAATGTGGCTATTACTGTGTACAGTGTTCTCCTGGTTCTGCTCACTTCAGTAAACATCAGTTCATTTAAGTCTTCCCAGGTTTTTCTGAAGCCATTCTGCTCATCATTTCTTACAGCACAATAATATTGCATTACACTCATATACCACAACTTGTTTAGCCATTCCTCAATTGATGGGCATCCCCTCAATTTCCAATTCTTGGCCATCACAGAAAGAGCTGCTATAAATATTTTTGTACATGTGGATCTTTTTCCATTCTGATGTTGATTTTTAAAAAATTGTTGTTTCTTCCAGGGTTGAACCCAGCCTGGCAAGGCCTTGGAAGACCCCCATAGGTGAGAGGGTGTATTGGCAGAATGTTCCTCTGACTTTGTAGGCCACATTGCCAAGCCTAGCCTCTCTAGATGAGGTCGCACATTCCATGTTGCTGACTAAAAGAGGAACTTCTCTGGTCGGCGATCTGACAATTAACAGAATTGATTAAATGTCCGCTGTGTTCCAGGCACGGTACTAGATACGAGGAATATAAGGACCGAAATGAAATTGTCCCTGGCCTTTGAAAGTTTATGTTCTAAAAGGGGAGACTACAGGCACATACATAGTTATAGGCAAAAGAAATGGTTTTTCTTTTGGAGGCATTATCAGCTGTTGAAGTAGGATGGGCCTCATGCGGAAAGTGGTGTTCAAGCAGCGTCTCCAAGGAGGTTGGGATTCCAAGAGGTGGCGATGAGAAGGAAGGGCATTCCAGGCATAGGAGACAGCTATGGCAAAGGTGTGGAGAAGAGAAATTAAGCATGGTGCATGAAGAATGTCAAGAAAGCCATTCTGGTATAAATGGTAAAAGGCCTGGACTAGGAACCAGTCAGAAGGTCCAGGCTCTGGTCCCCATTGTGCTGCAAGCACTACCTGACTTGGGCCAAGCTCTCCATTTGTTGGATTTCCTACCTATAAAATGGGGATAATAATAACTGATAGTTAATAAGAATGATATTCAATTTAATATCAATAGTTAAGTATTGTAAGGTTTGCAAAACACTAAATATTGCCTCATTTGATCCTCGCAACAACCCTAGGGAGGAGGTGCTATTATTATCCCCATTTGACAGATGAGGAAACTGAGGCAAACAGGGTTAAGTGACTTAACCAGAGTCACACAGCTACTAAGTATCTGCAGATGGATTTGAACTCAGGTTTACCCAATTCCAGGGCCAGTGCCTTCTTCATTGCTAAGATGAGAGGAACAAATTAACAATAATATGAGACATTCCCAGAGCCACATAATTAATAAGGTCTTGGGCTGAATTTGAACCCCATTCTGTTGTTAAGTCCAAGACTTTCTTCACCACAGCAAGGTTTCTCTCATACGGTACATATACTCACACGTGTACGCACATGTACATACATGAACACACATGTAGAAATACATCACAATTATTGATTCACCTTATCAGTTATTTTGCATGACCTAAATTGGTCTAGGAAACAAAGGAAGGGCAGTTGTTCAATTTGCTGACTATAGAAAGAGGAGTGTATATATAGTCATCCCTCTGTATTTGTAGGAGACACTTCATAGAAATAGCATAAGTGTGTATGGTCTGTCGGTTTTGATGCTCATAGCAGGTTAAGACAAAGCTGGGCTTTCCCAGCAGGACCAGGCTGGGTTGAGGGACAGGAAAACACTTTGCATATGTTACCTTATTGGTGTCTCACTGTGAGATAAATAGTATTTTCTCCACTTTGCAGATGAGGGAGCTCAGAGAGGTTGTCATTTGCCTGAGGAGCTGAGGTCACACAGCTGAAAAACGTCCAAAGTGAGATTTGAATTCAGGTCTTCCTGACTCCAAATCCAACACTCGGGCGCTATGCCAGGCTGCTGGCATTAGTAATGGCTGCGCTGCCTGCCTCCCGAGGTGATTGTGAGGATCAGATAAGGGGCTATAGGAGTACAATGCTTTTATTTGTCCTTACAATAATGGTTCTGCGGCACATTTGTACCTGGGCCAGGTCCACTTCCATCCTTCAGCCTCTCAGTGAGCTTGACATGGAGGTGAGGCTGTGGCCTGGCCCCCAGTATATGTGGTAGAAGGGTCACAGGTGAATGACCTGGATACAGGTTATTCTGAAATGGGTTGCTTTGTCCAGACCTACAGATTAGTCAAGTTAAATAAAGGCAACAAGCATTTATTAAGCACTTACTACATGCCGGGCTATGTACTAAGGGCTGAGGTTAAAAACAAAGGCAAAAAACCCCATCTCTGCTCCTAAGGAGCTCACGTTGTAATGGAGAGAGACCACATTTGCCTTGTGGGTCATAAAATTTACAACTAGAAGGAGCTCTAGCACAGTCCATAATAATCTAAGCTGTAGGGGCAGCTAGGTGGTGCAGTGGATAGAGCACCAGCCCTGAAATCAGGAGGACCTGAGTTCAAATCCATCCTCAGACCAAACACTTGACGCTTAGTAGCTGTGTGACCCTGAGCAAGTCACTTAATCCCAACTGCCTAAAATCATAATCATAATCCTAATCTAAGCTGTAAGGGCATAACTGAGATTGTGGGGTCATGGGTTTGGAGCTGGGCCCACAGGCCTGGGAGATCAGCTCGGCCCATCTCCTCATTTTGTGGAACCTGATGCCCAGGGAAGTGAAATGGTTTACTAAGGCTACACAGGTAGTGAGTGTGGAAGAGCCAGGATTGAACCACAGTCTCTGGATCATAGTGCTAGAGCTGGAAGGGACCTCAGAAGTCATTGAGCCTGGCCCCTTTGTTTTACAGCTGAGAAAAATGAGACAAGGGGAGGTAAGTGATTTACCCAAACTTACCCAGGTAGTAAGAAATGATTGCAGGACAAGTTAACTCAAGATACAGTATTTCCACACTACCAGAGCAGGAAGAGCCTTGGAACACAGAATGTCAGGACTGGGGGGGCCCTTAGAACACAGAATGTCAGTGCGGGGGGGGGCCTTAGAACAGAGAATGTCAGAGCTGGGAGAGGCCTTAGAACAGAGAATGTCAGAGCTGGGAGGGACCTGAGAGCACAGAATGTCAGAGCTGGGAGGGGCCTTAGAACACAACTCACATGCATTAGAAGAGGATGTTACGGCTGGAAAGAGGAAGTTCTAGCTGAGAAAACTGTCTTTAGTATCCAAGCCACTTAGTTTTGATCCTGGCTCTGCTATTGTGTGGACTTGCACAAATTATTTCTCCTTTCTGGGCCTCAGTTATTATCCTTTAAAAAAGAAAGAAAGAAAAAGTAAGGTTTATTTCTGCATTTTATTTTTATATCACAGTGCTTTATGAAAATACTTAATCCTCTCCTCCCCTCCTCCTCTATTCAGCAAGTCTTCCTCTGTACCAGCCCTAAGCACCCTTGTAGTCCAGGTCTCTTAAAGGAAAGATACGAGGTAAATCTCCTCATCCCTTCTCCAGGGCTAAGGTGGGTCATTCTGGTGGCTCACCCATCGGCCCCATCCCTTGAGGAAGGGATACTGGCTCCCTGGCTAGGGAAGGAAGAAGGGGGCACTTGTCTCCTGACATTCTCTCTCTCCTTGTGTGTTTCAGTCTCTTGGACCTGCTAATTTCACTCTTTGTCAATTGCCATGGGTCTTCCCCCATGTTTCTCTGAATTCCTTCCATAAGGCACAACAACATTCCATTCCATTCATTAGCCAATCATTCTATAAATACTCACTAAGCACCTCCTCTATGCTAGGCACTCGTGACTTTTTTGCTCATTCCCCAATGGGTGGGCACCCCTTTTCTTTTCCATTTTTTGCCACTATTTTCTGTGAATATGGTGTTGGAAATGGAGGCTTTCTTTTTGGTCATTGGTGGAGGAGGGAGGATTTTATGAGCATACTGGCCTGCCTTAGTTTGCTCATCAGTAAAATGGGGGTAAATGTCACAAGAATAAGGTTTCTAAGGTCCCTTCCAGTTCTAGACTTTATGGTCCAATGAATGAGGAAAAGAGAAAGTTCATTGCCATTACTAATAATACTCCTCCCCTATTTCTAAAATATGTTAGATTTTACAAGGTACTTTCCTTAACAAGAGCCATGTAAGAGAAGTACAGATATTATGTCCATTTTACAGATGGGTGAACAGCCACTCAGAGGAGAATTTTGACTTGCTCAAGCTCACACAGCTCACAAGTACCGAAGCTGTGACTCAGAACTAGGGTTTTAAATTTTTTTTTAATTTTAAATTAATTTATATATTTTATGTTTATATATTTATGTTTTCATTCACTTCCATAAGCTTTTGAGTTTTACATTTTCTCCGCTTCCCTCCCCTCCCCCCTGCCCAAGACAGGGTGCAATCTGATATGGCTCATATACATTCGGTTGGTTTTTTTTAGGCAGTTGAGGTTAAGTGACTTGCCTAGGGTCACACAGATAGTAAGTGTCTGAGGCCATATTTGAATTCAGGTCCTCCTGACTCCAGTGCTGGTGTTCTATCCACTCTGCCACCTAACTGCATTCTTACAACATTAGTCATGTTGTAAAGAAGAATTTCGATATGCATTCAGACTCCATAGTTCTTTCTCTCAATGCAGATAGCATTTTCCATCATGAGTCTTTTCGAGTTGTCTTAGATCCTTGCATTGCTGAGAAAAGCCAAGTCTATCAAAGTCAGTCATTACACAGTGTGGCTATTACTGAGTATAGTATTCTCCTGGTTCTGCTCACTTCACTCAGCATCAGTTCATTTAAGTCTTTTGAGGTTTTTCTGAAGTCTGCCTGCTCATCTTTTCTTATAGCGCAATAGTATTCCATTACATTCACATACCACAACTTGTTCAGTCATTAACTGCTGGGCATCCCCTCAATTTCCAATTCTTGGTCACCACCAAAAGAGCTGCTATAAATATTTTTGTACATGTGGGTCTTTTTCCCATTTTTATGATCTCTTTGGGATACAGCCCCGGAAGTGGTATTGCTGGGTCAGAGGGTAATGCACATTTTTGTAGCCCATTGTGCATAGTTCCAAATTGCTCTGCAAAGTGGTTGGATCATTTCACAACTCCACCAACAATGCATTGGTGTTCCAATTTTGCCACATCTTCTCCAGCATTTATCATTTTCCTGTTTTGTCATGTTGGCCAATCTGATAAGTGTGATGTGGTGCCTCAGAGTTGTTTTGATTTGCATTTCTCTAATCAATAGTGATTTAGAGCATTTTTTCATATGATTACAGATAGCTTTAATTTCTTCATCTGAAAACTGCTTATTCATATCCTTTGACCATTTATCAATTGAAGAATGAATTGTATTCTTATAAAGTTGATTCAGTTCTCTATATATTTTAGTTATGAGGCCTTTATCAGAGACACTGGTTGTAAAAATTCTTTCCCAATTTCCTGCTTCCCTCCTAATCTTGGTTGCATTGTCTTTGTTTTTACAAAAACTTTTCAATTTAATGTTATCAAAATTATCCATTTTGCATTTCATAATGTTACCTTGTTTGGTCATAAATTCTTCTGTTTTCCATAAATCTGACAGTTAAACTATTCCTTGCTCTCCCAGTTTGCTTATAGTATCTGTCTTTAATGTACCCATTTGTACTTTATTTTGGTATGCAGTGCAAGGTGTTGATTTGTGCCCGGTTTCTGCCATACTATTTTCCTGTTTTCCCAGCAGTTTTTGTCAAAGAGTGATTTCTTATCCCAGAAGCTGGAGTCTTTGGGTTTATCAAACAGTAGATTACTATAGTCATTGACTATTGTCATCTTGTATACCTATCCTATTCCACTGATCTACCACTGTATTTCTTAGCCAGTACCAAGTAGTTGGTTTTTAAATTTCCACTTCCTCACTGTTGTTGAGCTTGAGGGGAGAGAACATCTTGATTTATTTCAACCCACCAACCATTTATGGAGGATTTTTCTGAGCCTGGAGCAGCAATGCAACACATTTAGTAAATGTGTGTTGACTGGCTAATGGTACCAGCCACCACTCTAGGTGCTGGGGGTATGAAAACAAAACAGTTTCTGGCCTCGGGGAGCTCTCGTTCTGAGGTTTGGAGGGTGTAGCGAATACGAAAGCAAAATAATATGTGCACAGATAGTTGCATAGAAAAATAGGTCCAGAATAAATACAGTGTCACAAAAGTCTTAGCGTACTTTTTAAGCTAGTGAAGTGAAAAAAGCTAGAGAAAGTGAAAAACAACTAAACAACAGTAAAGAATGTGGAGTGTTTCTATCTGGCACACTCAGCCAGGACAAGCCCTTTTGTTATTCAGTTGTGTCCGACTCTTCATGACCCCACTTGGGGTTTTCTTGGCAGAGATACTGGAGCGGTTTGCCATTTCCTTCTCCAGCTCATTTTACAGATGAGGAAACTGAGGCTAACAGGGTGAAGTGAGTTGCCCAGGGTCACCCAGCTAGTGAGTGTCTGAGGCTGGATTTGAACTCAAGAAGAGGAGTCTTCCTGACTCCAGGCCCAGCGCTCTACCTGCTGTGTCTCCCTACTGCCCCCAGTGATAAATAGAGAAGTGCGTATTTGCCAGACAATGGAGTCACAAACTGTAATGGCTTGAAAGGGGCCTTACTCCGATCTTCTTATTTTTACCAAAGAGATTGAGGCCCAGGGGCAGGAGTAATTTGCTCTAGGCCACACTTACCTGTTAGTAGCAGAGCCAGGCCTAATGGTAACAATAGCTAACAGGTGTATAGCTGTATGTGTGTCATTTTCTGTGATCTTACAACAGCCCTGGGAGGTGGGTGCTATTATTATCTCCATTTTACAGAGGAGGAAACTGAGACTTACCGAGGTGCAGCATCTTGCCCAGGGTGACGCAGCGAGTGAGGGTCAGAGGAAGATTTGCACTGTAGTATTCCTGACTTACAAATCCAACCTTCTCTCCACCACCCCACTTTGGTCTGGGGGTGGGGAGAGCATCTGGCCGAGGGGAGCTTTGCCTCTCTGTCTGTCTGTCCCTCCTCTTTCTCCTCCCGTCCTGGCTGAGCACCTGACTAGGAAGAACACTCCTCTCTCTTCTCTCCTTTCTCTCTCTTACTGTCTTTCTCTATGTCTTCTTTCTCTGTCTGTCTCTCCTCCTATCCTGGATGAGGGTGTCAGAGTAGAAAGAACACTCCTCCTCTCTCTTTCTTCTTATTCTCTTTCTTTCTCTCTCCCTCCCTTTTCCTTCTCTCCCCTTCTCTCTCCTTCCTTTTTCCTTCTCACTCTCTCTTTCTCCTACTTTTTCTCTTTTCTTTCTCTCTCCCCTCCTTTCCTTCTCTCTCTCTTTCTTTCCCCTCCTCTTTCTTTTCTCTCCTCTTTCTTTCTCTCTCTTGCTTCTCTCTGTTTCCATCTCTCTGTCTCTGTCACTCTTTCCTTCTTTCTCTCTCTTCCTTCTCTCTGTCTCCATCTCTCTGTCTGGTCTCTCTGTTTCTCTCTGTGTATCTGTGTCTTTATGTGCTTGTCTGCCTCTCTTCCCTCCCTTCTCTCTCTTTCTCTCCCCTCCTCTCTTTTCTCTCCTCTTTCCTTCTTTCTCTCTCTTCCTTCTCTCTGTTTCTGTCTGTCTTTCTTCTTCCTCCCTCTCTGTCCTGTCTCTCTGTTTCTCTCTGTGTGTCTGTGTCTTTATCTGCTTGTCTGCCTCTCTTCCCTCCCTTCTGTCTCTGTACACCCACTTCTTCCTCCCTACTTCCTTTGCCATCAACCTAGGCTGGGCCCTGATGCCAGGTCTGCCTTCTCTCCTCTCCTTTGCCTGGAGCTGCTAGGTGTGCTGCAGGTTTGGCTGCGCAGCCTCCATCCCTGCCTTTTCTGATGCCCCACTCTACCAAAATAACTCTGGGTTTATTTCGTGGGTATTTTGTATGTGTGCACCCCCCCGAGTAGATTGGAGGTTCCTTGAGAGAGAGGACAGCTTATTCTTTGTCTTCAGACCCACAGGACCTAGCACAGTGCCTGGCTGTACGGTAGATACTTAATAGATGCATATTGAATTGAAATTAATCCGTTAAATTTCTTCTGACTCTTGTAATGGCCTCCTAACTTGGCCTCTCCTCTCCTCAAGCCACTCTCCACAGCACTGCCCAGGTATCCCTCTGTCTCTCTCTCTCTCTCTCTCTCTCTCTCTCTCTCTCTCTGTCTCTCTCTCTCTGCTCTCTCTCTCTCTCTCTCTCTCTCTCTCTCTCTCTCTTTCACACACACACACACGCATATATGCCCCCAAGCATGCACACACACATATACCTACACATGCATACATGCATGTGTGTGTACACATGCACACACATATACACACACACATGGCACTCCTCAGTGACTCCTCATGGCCTGCTCTCCTGAAGCCTTTCCCAGCCTGCCTCTGCCCGACCTGTCCTGTCTCATCCTATAAGAGTGAGTTCCCCTCATGTTTTCACTTTTTTAACCCAACAAAGATGTCGGCCATTGTCCCTCATTCTCCTTCTTGTGCTTATGCTTCGAATAGAATATGTGTGGACATAGGTACGACTGCATACACACACCATATCACAGTATAGAGATGCTTTGCATGTTATATTATGTAAACACAAATATATGTGCATTTACATATATATGTGTATATATATTTTTGTAACCCTAGTGCCCAACATAGCATACATACACATGTATGTATGCATGCACAAACATGTGTATACACATGCGCACGTATGCTTTCACAGTGTCCTTGTAACCTCTGCCTGGCACAATACGTGCATTGTGCACATAGAGCAAACATGTATGTGTGTACATATACATACATGCACAAAGCCCTGTGTGTGTGAGGTACACATATACATACATGTGCATACACATCTATGTCCTTGTAACCCCGGGGCCTTGCACAAAGTGAGAGCTTGGTAAGTGTTTAGTGTGTGATTACACTCCGCAGTGAACAGGCTGGCCAGTGTGGCCAGCGCTCTGTTCCTGCTGGCGGATGGGCCGTGGAGCCAGTGGGTCACACCCATTCATTCACACACATTCAGTTCATTAATTCAGCAAACATGAAGCATTGACCGCCTGTGGAGACCTGGGGATGGTGTGTGTGGGGGGGTGTGCAGAGTGAGCCAAGATACAATTCCTGTCTTTCTGGAGATTACAATCTTATGGGAAGATAAGGCAGAACTATAGTATACATTATTAATCAAGGTTAAATGCATCATTGTACGACAGATGTTATGTGAGCCTGGGCACAGCATCTCCTCTCTCGTGGCATCAGCCAATGTGGCCACTGGAAGCTGCAGAGAGGATGCCAAGCTGCTTCGGTAAAGGGCGTTTCCTCACCTGGGAGTTCCCTGTACCAATGCTATCTCTGGTCTAGCCCTGGCCCCCATCCCTTCCCTTTCCCCAGTCCCCAGGCCGTGCTTTGTAAGGTCTAAGGGTTAAGGGGAGGCAGGCAGTGGGGGCGGTGGGGGCAGGGGTGGGCCTTGGAAGTGAGCCACCTCCACCAGCCTGAGCTTGATACTGAGCTAGCCTCAGGGAGAGGGAGAGAGAGACCGGGGCCCACTGCCCCCCATCCTCCCTGCCCCCCTGCTCTTTCCTCCTCCTCCTCCTCCTCCGAGGCTCAGCCAAGGCCCAGGACCGGGCTGGGGGAGGAGGTGCCGCAGGCCGGCCCACAGAACAGGGCTCTGGCCTTCATCACACATGGTTGGAGGGGCCTAGCCCAGGCGGGGCCCTCCCTAGGGTCCCCAGGAATGCTAGACTAACCCAAGTGAGCTGTCTTTTGTTTCTGGTTTCTCAGAGCTTTTTCTTTGGATGTTTCCAGAGCACGCACCTCATACCCTGCCTCATGGTGGCATTCGATTTGGCATCAGGGAATTTGGGTACAGGGACAAAGAACCGAACCTCTTTAGACCTCAGTTTGTCATCTGTAAAATGGGGACAATAGCAGTCACCCTGCTTACCCCCCAGGGTTGTTGTCAGCAAACTGCTATGGAGACCTTAGAAATGTGCTTTGTTCGTCTTATAGCTACAGATTTTATCCCCTGTTCCCACACTAGATTGATTCTAAGCTCCTTGAAGGCAGGGCACTGTGATTCTCTCCCCCACCCTTTTTAATCCTAAACCCAGGGCCTTACACACACACACACACACACACACACACACACACACACACAGAGTAGGTACTTCATACACATTAGCTGAGTTTGAATTTATCGGAACATCACGGGACTTAGAGCTTGAAGGGCTCATCTAGTCCAAATTACTCATTTTTCAGATGTGGAAACTGAGGCCCAGTGTGGTATTTTGAACCTGTATCATTGATGAGTTTTTTTCATCAAGATTAAATGCCCTTCTTTATTATATAGGATGGCTTTCTGGGAGAGGACGATGATACGGTGGATAGAGCACCAGGCCTGGAGTCAGAAAGACCTGAGTTCAAATCTGGCCTCAGATACTTATTAGCTGTGTGACCCTGGACAAGTCACTTATCCTCTGTCTGCCTCAGTTTCCTCATCTGTAAAATGGGGATAATAGTAGTACCTCCCTCCCAGGTACTACTTGTGAGAATCAAATGGGATAAAATTTAAGCCCTTAGTATAGTGCCTGGAACATAGTGAGGTGCTATGTAAATGCTGGCTGTTGTTCTTATGAAAAGAGAGGAAAAGGGATACCAGGGGAAATGTAGGTGATGGAAAACGAAAAGCGATCACTGGAAATTTATTTTTACAAATACTAAATGACCATGGAATTTGGAGCTGGAAGGTCCCTTGGAAACCTCCTTGTCATGTGATCCTAGCTCTAGAACCAGAAGATATCTCAGAGGCAGCCTAGTCTAACCCCCCCCCCCACATACACACACACTTTACAAATGAGGAAACCGAGGTCTGGAGAAATTAAATGACCTGTTGGAGGTCCACTCTGACCCTAAGGCCAGCATTCTTTCCAATTTGCCTCAGTGTGTCCTGTGTGTCCTCACATAGCCCCCTTCATTTTACAAATGAGGAAACTGAGGCCCAAGTTCACCCAGATGTCAGTAAAAGGTCTGCAATTTGGATCATAACAAAAAAAAAATCCCCTGCCCCGGGAAAGTCCCAACTTGAAGACTTTGGTCTCCTGCTGTCCTTCTGCCGATAGCTGTAATGTAGCTGTGCTGTTTCTTGAAAAATCCCCTTGAAATTCCTGTGCCTCTTTCTCTTCTCTGCCATGACATTTTCTAGGGGATAGCCGGGGTTCCTAGGGGAAGGCCAGAGTGGGGAGGCTGGCCACGTGGCTCCCATCTCTGGACTCCCACGTGAAATGTGAGAGGGGCTGGGGGTCGGGGCCTGGCTCCAGAATCCAGGCCATCCCACTCTGATTGCCCCAGTTACTGGCAGGACGGAGAGCTGGAAGCCACAGGAAACTGCAGCCAGGATGCTGGGTGGGGTCCTGGCTCAAAGAGAATGCAGCCTTCTGAGCTGCAGCCGGGCGGGCAGGCTTTGGATGGGGGAGTGGGGGCTCTGCGGGAAGGGTTCTGAGTTTCCCTCGAAACCAGCCAGCTTTTGGGGCCCTGCCTTCTCTGCCTCGCTCAGGGGGTGGAAGGGAAATGTATCCAAACGAAAAGTATTTGGCTGTTCCTGAAAACTTCTGCTGTTTTTGCTATTTTTGCCTTTGTGCAGAAGTTAGATTTTTGTGAGGATAATTAGAGACTTGATATGGCTAGAGAGATCTGGAACCAGAGGATGCCTTAGATTATAGTGTGTGAACACTAGGATGGCCCTTAGAACCCAGAATGTCAGAGCTGGAAAGGGCCTCAGAACACAGGATGTCAGAGCTGGGAAGGGCCTTAGGACAGAGAATGTCAGAGCTGGAAAGGGCCTCAGAACACAGGATGTCAGAGCTGGGAGGGCCTTAGGACAGAGAATGTCAGAGCTGGGAGGGACCTTAGAACACAGGTCAGAGCTAGAGAGCCCTGGGTAAGGAACTGAGTCTTCTGACCCTGGGAAAGGATATACAAATACTACTTCAGAGCCCCTGAGTAAATACTAAAAAGAAATAAAATCCTACCACTTACCATTTAATTTAGAATCTAAATTGCTTCAGTAGAGAGTCTATTCAGATTGCCATCCTGAGCTGGTCAGCCCTGAGGCCA